GTTCTGACGACTGCCTCCTGGTCCAAGTATAGGTTTTGCATTAGCACGATCAAGTGTTCTGGGATTCCCATTCTTCTCAGAGTCAGCCACAGTTTGTTATGATCCACACAGTCAAACGCCTCTGCATAGTCAATGAAACATAAATAGACTTTCCTCTGGTATTCCCTGCTTTCAGATAAAGCTTGACATAGAAAACAAAAACAATTTTATTGACTATGCAAAAACATTCAACTTTATCATACATAATAAACTATGCATAACATTGAGAAGAAAAGGAATTCCAGAACACCTTAATATGCTTGTGTGGAACTTGTACACCAATCAAACAGTAGTTCTTCGAACAGAGTGAGGGAATACTATACACTTTTAGAAAGCACGTAGACTGAAGACTTTTGGGGGAAAGTCTGTAGTCAGAGACCTCCTCAAATTATTGAGGATCAATGATGTGAGTTTGAAGACTAAGGTGTACCTAACTCAGGTCATGGTCTTTGCAGTCACCTGCGATGCATCTGAGAACCGGACAATGAATAAGGAGAAAAGTACTGACTATTCCCATGGACTGTCTAAAGAGCAAATATGTCTTGGTGAAGTTGTAGCCTGAGTGCTCCTTGGAGGCAAAAGTGATAAAGCTTCTTCTAACATACGTTGGTCATGTTGCTAGGAGAGGCTATTCCTTGGAGGCGTGGAGCCTTCCTTCATGCTTGGAAAGGTGGAGGGAAATCAAAGAAGAGGAAGATCCTGAACCAGATGGACTGACACAGTAACTAAAGCAATGAGATTCAGTGGGTCAGAGATTGTGAGGAGGTCAGGGTTCAGATCTGTTGTTTACAGCGTGTCTATGAGTTGTACTTGATCAATGGCACTTAACAATAACAGCACATGCTTTAAAAAGAGAAGACTATGGCCTGGATCAGGTGAACTTTTGTCTCTAGACTCTCTAGACTGACATCATTCCTCTTTAGCACATTGGAGAAATCTTTGACAGCAGATTTTCCCAATGCAACTCACTTTTGATTTCCTAAATGCTGGTGCCAAGAGTGTTGACTGTAGATCTGAGTAGGCTGAAATCATTAACAATCTCAATCTCTTCTCTATCATGGTGCTGCCAATTGGCCCAGTGTTTGAGAATCTCTGTCTTCCAGATGTTGAGCTTCAATCCATAATGAAGACTACATACAGTCCTTGACCCTCTAATAATATACTAGTATTATATATAAATATAAATACACACACACACACACACACATAATAAAGCAATTGTTTTCAGGCTGGCCACATTCTACATACTGCCTGGTCAAAAGGCACCCAGATTCCTGTGAGGTAAACAGAAGCCTTGCTCTTTTCTGAGGACTGTTTTCTGATCCAAGTATATGTTTGAACATAATCAAGTCTTCTAGGATTTCCATTCTTCTCAAGGTTAGCCACATTTTTTTGTGATCCACACAGTCAAATGCCTTTGCATACTCAATGAAACATGGACAGACATTCCTCTGGTACTCTGCTTTTGGCCAAGATCCATCTGACATTGGCAATAATGTCTCTAGTGCCACGGCCTCTTCTAAGCCCAATTTGTACTTCTGGTAGTCTCTGTCAATGTTCCAGTCATTTTGGGATAATCTTCAGCAAGATTTTGCTTGCATGTGATACTAGTGATATTGTTTCATAATTTCCACACTCTGTCATCTTTTGGGGGGATGGAAATAAATAAGGATCTCTTCCAGTCCAGTGGTCAGGTAGCTGTCCTCCAGATTTCTTGGCACAACCTGGTGAGCTGTCTTTTTCATATTTAATGGATTTAATCTGTTTGTCAAGTATCAGTTGCGCATAGGTGGACAGTTTTACTTCTGAGATCTCAGTTCTATTCTGCTGAGCTGAGTACCTGTTGCTATCTGGGTACCAGCCTGTTTTAACTACTGTGGCATGCTGAAGTATTTTATATCGGGAAATGTGTAGTCTCCCATGTTGTTTTTTTCTCCTCAGTAGTGCTTTACTTACCTAGAATCCAAAGAGACATCTTTCATAGGCTTAAGATGTCTGAGTTAATGGTCATTTTTTTGTTGTTTTTAAATGTCTTGGCATCCTTTCTATCTCATAGAGACAGCATGTACAACAGATCTTCCAAGTTAATAAAGAAATGCTGTAGCACCCCCACCTGCTATTTTTTAGCCTCTTTCTGCAGAGACTGTGTCAATCTCCTCCTTTGGAAGCCTTCCTTTTCTCTGACTCTCTACAAACATGATAGGAGTTCAGATTAGTTCAAAGGAAGTTGCACTGCTAATTCAAAGGCTGAGTCTTTCTGGCAGTTCAAATACACGAGTGGCTCCAAAGAGAAAAGATGAGCAGTCCCCTCTCGTGTGATTTACAGCCTCTAAAAACCGGCTGGCCGGTCAGCTATAAGTCGGTTCTGATGACTCCAAGGGAATGAACTGAGCTACAAATGATGTCCTCCTCCCTGTGGGCACAACTGGAAAGCGAGGGTCCTCCCCTAAGGATTTCACTCCTTACTCTCGGCCCCACAGCCTGTGGTTTAGTTTCTTAAAGCAGTTAACATCCCAGTTACCTGAGTCCTCTAATGCAATTTAAAAAAAAAAGACTCTAAAGTAAGAAGACATTTAGACACTCTGAGATCGCAGAGGAATTCCTTAGCCCCCTTTACAATCTCCGTTCCTGTTGGGTACTCTCTCTCTTTCCCCCCTGCGCAAAGCAATAAAATACAAATTTTTCCAAATGGCCATTAGCCATGATCGCTCTGGTGACTAAGAAATCAGATGCAAGTTCTTGAGTCTGCAATTATCCATGATCGCTCTGGTGACTAAGAAATCAGATGCAAGTTCTTGAGTCTGCAATTATCCATGATCGCTCTGGTGACTAAGAAATCAGATGCAAGTTCTTGAATCTGCACTAAGGGCAAAGCAATGCGGGGAGGGGGGGGGGAAGTCTTGCTCCTCCCAGTTTCCCTGGAAGTGCTGAGAGGCAGCCACGTGCATCATTAACTCCCCTTACGGAATTTTGTATTGAGACAAAGAAATCACCTATATGTTAGCCTTACTCCTCTCACCACCCTAACCCCCAACACTGAGCTGGAAAGTCTTTTAAAGGAATAGAAATAACAACTACTTGGTTCTACGGAGCGCTGCTTGTGCAAAGGTTACTAGCTCAGCAGATCTGAAGGTTGAGGGATCAACCCACCAGCCACTCAGCAGGAGAAAAAAAAAACCTGATGGTCAGCTCCTGAAAATAGACTACAGCGTGGAAAAAAATGCCTGCGGGGCAGTCAGTTCTAGGCTGTCCTGTCCGATAGCTGTGAGTTGGAATCCACAGAACACCGCTTCCTTCTCAGTCTCTGATGTCAGCTGAAGCCAAGCAAAGGCAGGGGTTAACTATCAATGGGAAGAAATGAAACGGAGAGCAATTTCTCCCCCAGCTATGAACTGAAATAGCATTTCACTTCTCTTAGCCTCGGTCACATCCCCTCAAATTCTCAGGGTCTCCAGTTGAAAATGCCCTAAAAACCAGCTCTCTTAACAACCGACCAACACTGACTAAAGCAAACAACCAAAAGGCCTGAACTCAGGGGAGCTCTGGTGGCCTAGTGGCCAGGAACTGCAACTACAATCCCAGACGCTCACTGTTCGAACCCACCAGATGCTCTGCCGGGGAAGGAGGGACAATCTCCTCCTGTACCAGTCAGATCTTATTTGATGGTACACGCGCGCGTGCGCACGCACACACACACACACACACACACACACACAATCAATCAATAAGGCCTGAACTCACAGCTCAAAGGACAGAGTCAAAGCTGAAAGGCACATTCTCGAGGCTACAAATCTTTGGAGAAGTTAGACTGGCTGGCCTTGCTAGCGGGTTCGAGGAGTGAGCGGGTTCGAACCGCTGACCTCGAGGTTAACAGTCAAGAGACTTAACGAAGGTGCAATAAGGGCTCCGCAGCCGAGAGCGCTGAGAGCGCAGTGCTGGGGTGGGGCTGCCCCGGGAGCACTCACCTTCCTTAAACCAGGGGGTCATGAAGGACAGGATGTAGGTGGGGTCCAGGATCTTGCGGACATAGTCCCCCACGGTGCGCAGGTTCTGCCGCTGCTCGGCTGTCATGCCTGCGCCCTGCTCCCGGCTGTGCGCCCCTCGCCACCGCGCTCGCTCTCCGTCTCCAGCCCGGCTCCGCCGCCAGCCGCCAGGTCTTCTGGGACCAGCCGCCCGGGAAGCGAAACGAGGCCCGGGAAATCGAAATCGAAACCTCAGCCGGGGGCGGGGCAGGGGGGGGCGGGCCGCCGGGCTGGGGGACCCGGGGCGGCTCGGCCGCGCGACCTGCAGCTTCGTGTGTCAACCCGGGGAACTCGCTGACCCCGAGGTCCTCACAGGGCGCTTGGGAATGACTTTTCGTATGTGTTATGCATCCTTTTTTTTTTTTCTTTCTTTCATTTTGTTTTCTGTATGAGAAAGTCTAGATGCATAAAATGCAGATATTTAAGCGTACCATTCAGTGAGTTGGGAAAAATAGGTAAAAGGATATAAACCACTCTCCTTGAGACGTTAATACCCTCTGTTAAGCGTATTTTTAACTTTATACAAGAACATATTTTCCAATATAGGTGACCATTTTTGCATTCTGTCCAGCACGATGAGTTTCAGTTGATAACATCTTCACCTTTGTTATGTGCCAAGGAGTGGGAATTGACTCTTACAGGAGGGTCCTCAAGGCGATTTTTCAGACAGTAAATCATATGGGAGGCGTTTTCCCATCTTTCTCCCCTGGAACAGCTGATGGTTTCAAACCACATGTCTTTGTATTGGCAGTGCAACTCCTTGCCCACCAAGCCACCAGATGTGTGCCCTATCCCCACCTCAAACCATCTTTGCGGTGGAAACTGCAGACCATTGTGGTTTTCTCCCAGGATTAATGATGTTGCAACATTTATATGTGCTTAGATTAGCCAGCAAGGTATTTTGTGGAGAGTCTTTTCCTAATTTTTTTAATTATTTTTATTCTGATTATAGATTTGCAGAAGTTATTTCTGAGTTAACCTATTTAAAAATACCCTGGTTTAGGGAGCTCTGGTGGCCTAGTGGCAAGAAGCTGCACTGCAATCTCAGAGGTACACTGTTTGAATCCGCCAGATGCTCTGCTGGAGAAGGAGGGGCAATCTCCTCCTGTAGCAGTCAGATCCAATTTGATGGTACACACACAAAAATAATAAAATTTAAAAAAAATAAAAATACCATGGCTTGAGGCATGTGCACCACACACATACACAAAAAAAAAAGTTGACCAATTTTAGCTGCTAACCATAAGGTTTGAGGGTCAGAGGTTCGAATCTAGACAAAAGAAAAACCTGGAGGTAAAGCCCATCAAAAAACCCAGGCAGTACCTTTCTACTCAAACATGCAGGGCCCTTCTGTGTAGAATCATCCTGAAGGGCAACAAGTTCAACTGGAATTTACTTGTTCTGTGTCCTAGTCCTCAGTCAAATAAATTTATTTCAAAGATCCTTTCTGTCAGTCCCTTGCTGTTTCAATTCCATAAAGTGGTCTTTGGTGAGCAAAGGTTTATTCTGATGAAATAAAATTGATCACTTTTTCCTCATCCTATCTTGCACCCTTTTAAAATACTTTTTTTTT